GTTATCGTATACAGAAAATTTCTTGCTTATTTGATAAGATAATTGAAAAATTCAAAAACTGCATTGAATGGCATCGAAGTACCTTCCTCATGACATATAAAAAAATCTATTACATCTGACAGTTCTTTGGCAGCTATCTCCCACTTTTTATTTCCAAATGGCACCCCCTATTCCTATTAGGAATACAACGATAGCATATACTTGGTATTTTTTTTTATTATTATGACAAAAACAGCAACATTTAATGAAGTATTAATTTCAACTAAAATAGCTTTTATACGAATCAAAAAATGAACCAAAAATCACAGCAAGTGTTCAGAATTATTATTATATGACAACCATCGGTTTGTTGAAACAAAAAACATGAGCGTAGTCAATATTTCATTTTCATAAGGATAATTGAGTAACTTGAAACAAGTCACAAAATGTTGATATTTCTGTTATCAATAAAAAAATACCAAGAATACGCTCTCGTTGTATTCAAAATTGAGTGACACGTAATGTAATTCCCAATGAAAATATACAGGGGATGCCATTTGAATATAAAATGTGGGGGGTAGCTGCCAGAGAGCTGTCAAATATAATGAATTCTTGTATATATGTCATTTGGAAGGAACTTCAATGCCATTCAATTGAGTTTTTGAATTTTTCAACTATCTCCTCAAATAAGCGAGATATGGCCTGTATACGATAACTTAGGACACCCGGTATAGAGTGGTGTGCTAACTCTCAATTGAAAAAAGTTCGGAATAAGTTCGGATTGAGTTCGAAAACAATTCGAAAAAGTACCAGATAGATTATAATAACTAATGAAAGATTTCACTTCACCTTTAATGCTTTGAAATATTCATAAAAATTATTAGATACTAGCAATTAATTGAATGAAGTGATCTAGATGTGAAACGATGCATATAAAGCCATAAGTTTCTGCTCTTCACTCAATTTATTGAAGTGACGAAAAAGGTCATTATGTGCACTTTCGCCGACTTTTACTTGCACAAAAGAATGTTGTACTTTCTGACACACTTCCTACACCCATATTATATGATTGCTATAATGAAGCATTGTTAATATGTTTAACATCGTTATAACTTACGATATATTGCATTTCATCATCATTATATCATCTGACAATATGTTCGTTGTTCACCCTATAAGAATAGAGAAGAATGGGAACTGCATGTAAAAGAGCATCATGAATTCATGCTTGATATATGGAGTGAAAAGAACATTTCAAATGATTTCCGAAGTTTGAATGATGAAATTTCAGAGCTTTTCACAGAAAAAATACTATACTCTTCAAAGTACGATCGATGCCATTAATATGTTACCTTTATTTCATGAATAAAATGCTTCATAAGGAGAAAAAATGTGGAATCCGATTGGATATTTTGATGACCAACACTTTTTCATGAGGTTTTGTTCTAGTTTATGCTAATGCTGATTCGACAGGTTCTATTAGTGTCATCAGAAAAACAGTTACGATTTCATTTCAGAGTTATCATTAGAAAATAATTTAAAACATAAAAAGAATGGTCGACTCATATACCAGTGCTGACTGAATTTTTTTCGTTGATTTTTGCCTTTTTTCATTGGATTTAGGAGACAATTACTATTGCATCCTTGAGGCACTGTATATAATATAGAGGCGTTGAAAAAATTTGAAAATAAGAGTTCTCATATATAATTCTTCTCAGGTAAAAAAGTTGAGCACTTTTTTGATATTACCTACTAAATATTATAAGTAAAATATTCAATTTGCATAACCTTCAATTATTTGGGTGAGGATAAATTAATACACTGAAAATATCACTGGGCCAACAATGAATGAGCAATGAATGGAAGTACTGCTTCGGCAATATTGGCGTTGAGTCGGCCAACGAGCCACTTTTGTAATTTACTATTGAAAAATGCCAATATCATGCCAATGACTACATATTTTTCTCTCATCTTAAAATTCTCAAATAACCTGACCAATCGCAAGCAAAAGACAACTTGTATTAACGCGAAAACACTAGCTGAATCATGATTGATCTATCAGCGTTGGTATGTTTTCAAAAGTATGTCAGTTTGGCGTGAAATAATTATAGCTCGAAATGTCAAAATCTTTGGTTACATGGCTTGTTCACTTATAATGAATGCTTCTTATGCTTTTCGTGAAATACTCTAGCAAAATACCAGCAAAATAGCAAAATACCATAGAATAATCTCGAAAATTTTGTACCAGTTATTTCTAACCAATCAGATGCTTTATTTCGACATGGTTGATATGGTAACCATCAGCAAATTTTCCGGAAATTTTTCATCCACATGAGCATAATGTAGACGTAAAATCAATGTGTGGAAAATTTCTGGCACACGCATGACAGCTATCATATAATTAGACAATATTGAAATAATATTGACAATATTTCTGATTTCCCAGAAACCTAGTAACGAAATTATATGAAATCAATTATTTTTATACCGGGTGACACAGGACACATGTAACAGCCTGTAGTTTTTTAAGTTGAGGAGATAAAAATTTGAAATCCACAAGGGTAATAATATTATTGATGATGGTGCTTCCTTTGAACTCAATGACAATTTTTTTCAACCACCTGTTTGATTGGAAGTAGACCCAACTTTTTTTTCATATGGCACCCCGTATATTTCTGTAGCCTATCTTATTCGCCTTGAAATTCTCTATTCAACTATGTATCACAATTTGATATTCGTTCATTAGTTGGCTGTTAAATTGAATCTTCTTGAAATGCATAAAGTTGGCTGTGGCCCGAAAACAATGACATTTCGATGCTTGATAGGCTTAGAAATCCAAAGATCATCACTTGACGATATTATCAGAATATTTTCCATACCCTAGTCGCTCCCAGAAGATTGTCAATAATTTCATTTCAAAGAATCATCCGAAAATAATTCACGATATTAGAACGATACATCAATCATTACAACAATTTCAGTTTCATGTATCCGAATGGATGATCATATTATGGCTACATGGCAGAAATGAAAGACAAATAGTTTCTTCACAAGTAGCGAAATGAAAAAAAACTGAGTTTCTATCTTAGTTTTCTCAATATCGTGAGTTATTTTCGGATGTTTTTTTTGAAATTCAAATTATTGGCAATCTTCTGGGACCGATTAGGGTTTGGACAATATTCTGATAATATCGTCTAAGTAATGATCTTTTGATTTCTAAACCTATCAAGCAGCGAAATGTCATTGTATTCGGGCCACAGCCAACTTCATGTATCTCAATAAAATGCAATTTAACAGCCAGTTAATGAACGAATATCAAATTGTGATACATGATTGAATAGAGAAGTCCAAGGCAAATAAGATAGGCTACATAAATGTACAGGGTGGTTTTTGAAAAAAAAAAGTTGGGTCTACTTCTGATCAAACAGGTGGTTGGAGAAAATTGTCATTGGGTTCAAGGAAAGCGCCATCATTGATTATATAACCCTTGTGAATTTAAAATTTTTATCTCTTCAAATAAGAAAACTACAGGCTGTGGCATGTCTCCTGTGTCACCCGGTATAATAATATATCTGATACTATAAATTTGATTTTACTAGGGTACAGGGGAAGTAAATATTTACCTAATGATTTTTTTTCAAATATAATTCAGGTATGAGATTTTCTTACCGATTCCTCCACGTGCATGAATTAATTGCGGGAAATTTGTATCCTGCATACATTTTCAAAGGAAATTCATGTACTCAAAAAATTTCCGGCAATAATTCATTCCCTAGAGAGATTATAAGTGAATATTCAGATATAACCGTTGATAATTCATTGGGGTAACAATGGTGGAATTGCTTTAAAAGTTATGGCTCATGTATTAATATACAGGGTTTCCCAAAAGAACCGGAACGGTCGAATATTTCAGCAACGACTTGACATAAAAATATGGAATTTGGGATACGGGGTTTATCAGTAGCGCCGGATCTGAAAATGATATTTGCAACGTTGCCAGATTTACAGTTTTTCCTATGGAGCCCTCAACTTTATATTTTCAAATGTAATGCTATATAAATTTTCGGCGCATTAGATTTGTCGTTTTCGAATTACTACGGCGCTATAATATCAAATTTTAATTACCCCAATTTTCAACATTCCGTTAAAAAAGATCACTAAATTTTCTATATCTCGAGAAATCGTAGCATTTAAACTTCCTTTTTGAATTTCAGTTGATACCATAAAGTTAGGTACACTTTTTTCAACTGAATACTGAAACAAACCAAACCCTATTGATTATGTTTGAATCTTGAATCGAATTTTAGTTCTGAAAATTCGTACGTTATGTACTTTCTTAACCGATAATAACAGAACTTTAATAAATATTGTTAGAATCAAGATGTATAAAGTTGCCTGTGGAAATAGCTAATCAACTTTTATTGTTATTGTTGTCAACCATCTGTTTATTGTCAAGATAAAATGGTTTCCTTGTTAAGTGAAGAAGTTTAAATAAATTCTTAGGAATATTTCGTGAAAATAACATGTAAATTTGACTACGTTGTAAATGTTATTTTTAGATAAGACTTGCCAACAAATTTCTAATAAATTAATTTTCATTGTCATAACGCTACGATTTCTCGAGATATTGAAATTTGGTGATATTTTTTAACGAAATGTTGAATTGCCATATTACCAAAAATTAAGCAAATTGAAATATGATATTATATGGTCATAGTAATTTGAACATGACGAATCGAATGCGCTGAGAATATATATATAGCATTACATTTGAAAAAATAAAGTTGAGGGATCCATAGGAAAAACGGTGGATCTGGCAACGTTGTAAATATTTCTTTCAGATCCGGCACTACTGATAACCCCCGTATACCAAATTTCATATTTTTATGTCGAGTCGTTGCTGAAATATTCGACCGCTCCGGTTCTTTTGGGAAACCCTGTATATTTACTGCGAGTTCACTCGTACAATCATAAAAGAGAAGTGAATATGCAAAATATACGACAAACGGGCAAAAACTCACCTCTGAGCACATCGGCGGGTATCAGCCTCTTGTACGTCTTGACCACAACCTCATCGACTTTTTCGTCGGCTGCCAAGGCCACTGCGACGACTAGAGCGAGCGCCACGAATCTCTGCATTTTCGAAAATATTTATTTTTGATGCGTTCTTTTGCGGGTCCAAAAGGCGGGCTGGTCTGACCCTCAATGCGGGCTGCGATCTTCGTGCTGAATGGTGCTAAGTACCGACTGAGCCGGAGGACTAGCCGCAGCCGGATTTATAGCTTCTGGAGTGGGTTCCCACCTTTGCGAGGTCTTCTCGCTTCGATGGCACCGTGAGCGTGTATACCGAGTGGCACGCTATGGAGTGCCACCCTCTATAACTCTTTCATTTTTCCCAGTAGAAGAAAAAATTTAAAACGGCCTCATAGAGCATTTGTTTCGCTTCTTAAAAACAATGATATATATATTTTATATGTTATGGTTCCCACGAAAAGGGATATCCTGTAATGTTCAGAGAACATCGTGAGAACCAAGGGAAATAAGGTAGGAATTGATTTTCTTCTCAAATGTCTGGAGGTTATATGCCTCGGGGAACACCTCCCTTGGCAATATGTTCCAGAGCCTCGCTGTTCGTTGGTTGAACGAGTTTTGCAAAGAGATATTCTGCAGATTTCCGAAGTGACCACGGAAGGGTGCGAAGCCTCAACTCGATGAGTTAATCTCGCGGGGACTGCCAAGAGAGGAACAATTATTGTTGATACTTCAGAAGAGCATCGTCCATGAAAATATCTATAAAATAGAGCCAGATCGCCAACTTTTCTACGGTGTTCCAGAGAAGTGAGTTTGTGAGCGAGGCATCACCCACGAGACGAATAGCCCTTTTTCAGACAGAATCCAACAGTTTCAGGGTATATCTGGGTGCTGCACTCCAAATATGGAAACAGTATTCCAAGACAGGTCGGATCTGTGCCTTATAGATCATAAGCAGCTGATTGGAAGTAAAATAGCTCCTGGTCCGGAACAGAAAACCAAGTTTTTGGGATGCAATTGATCTCACGTGATTTTCCCAAGGAAGGTTACCGCTGATAGTAATACCAAGCATCGACATTGATGTCTTCAAAGGTATGGTTACTCCTGACAAGCTTATGTTGGGCACAGTGAGATCGGCTTTTCTAGAGAAAAGACATGCTTGTGTTTTGTTTGCATTGAAATCTACCAAGTTATTGGTTTCCCGTTCGAGAATTGTTGGCAAGTCCATATTTATGTTGTCAACATTTCTCCCCCGTTCGTTTCTGATTTGCCTGGCTGGTATTGGAGCCCTGGAAGAGAAGGCGGTATGGAGGGTGTACAATCATCCGCGGAGCTGTGTACTGGACATGAAGTTGCTTCCAACAAATCGTTGATATGGAGTAGAAATAGTGTTGGTGCTAGAATTGATCCTTGCGGAACACCAGCATTTATGATAAGAGAGTCAGATGAAACTCCGTCGACCACTACATGGAGAGACCTGTTTGAGAGAAAACTAGCTAGCAGAGAACATAGCTGGTGAGGCAAGCAACTATACGAGAAAATAAACAGGAGGCAGCAAAATGTTATGAATTTTAATTCGTTAACCCCCTTATGCATATTCAATAAACATAAAGATTTTTTTAAATCAACCTGTGAGTATTTTTTAAAAAAATAGTATCAAATAAGGCGCAATCAGTTGAATGTGTATTCTATCTGAACACAGTTATTAGACATTTACATAAGTTATATGAATTTTTTTCTTCACAAAATCTGCGAACTACTTCCAGTGTTTCAAAGAAACCTTCATATAATTTTGGTCTGAACGAGTAATTTCTCGAGCAAGTTGATAAAAATAAATGCTCAGTTTTGAGTGAATTCTTACAAAAATGTAATATGTATACTGTTAATCTTTGCAGAAATGGTGCGTTAAACACTAATTTTCTACTTCTAAAGTAAGAAAGTTTTCTTTTCATCATTTTACATTCATATTATCATTGTCAATTTTGACAAAACTGTATTCTTTATATACAGGGTCCGGAAAAGTCATATCGTAAATGATCAGAGTAAACCAAAATAATGTTAGTACTTCATATAAACGTGACTGATCTCTGATATAAACTAACTAACTATTGTAATGCTTCTTTCGATATGTGAACGGCAGTTCAGTTATTATGTTTTATACAGGATGGGACGACTTTTTTCCGTTTAATGGAGACATTTCTTGACAGAGGTGACAAATTTGACATTTTGCTTCCACCGCTTGTTTCCTTCATATTTTTTCTACAAAAATGGTATGATTTATTTTGAACATCATGGTAGTTACAGGGCTGATAGAGTGAGCTTAGATAATTTTAATAAAAAAATGTCTTTCGCACTTCGTTACGGACCATATAACAGCACACAACGTCCTAGGGACATCCCTATTTGGTACAATTTGAGTCCGAATGTCCCGGACCAAAAATAAGTGTCCTTGGGACGTCCCATCCCGTACATCTCATGCAATGTCCGAGCAAGGACGTCCAAGGAATGTCCCAGCAGGTACATCATTTCAAATGTCCTAGAAATAGCATCCCTCAGACGTCCCACGTGGTACATATTGTAGAATGTCCATGCAAGACGTCCTTGGTATGTCCCTGATGGTATACGATTTTGAACGTTCCTTTAGGGACATCCATCGGATGTACCGAGTATAACATATTCTGGCATGACTTCAGATCTTATATAATGTTCCTTCTAGACAACCATGAAATGTCCCTGATAGTACATTCCTTCAAATATCTCTGCACAGAAGCCCTTAATATTTCCAGGATCGTATAACAATCGAAATGTCCCTAAGGGACATATCCTTCGAATGTCCCTTAGGAATATCCGTCGGATGTCCCAATTGGTACATGAACTGTACTCATCCAATGTCCTAGAAATAACGTCCTACGGACGTCCCAGTCGGTACTTTCATTATGTTGTCCCTGCGAGGACGTTAACTTACACCTCGCAGACGAATGATTGCTCGTTGGCTATAAATACTCCCCGTCAATGTCCTTCACGTGAGTCCATTGGACATCCTTGGGAAACTTTTTCAGGATCTATTGGGGAAATTCTACAGACCATCAACTCAACTGGATGTCCTCATCAGTTATGCAAGATCTATCTATCAGCCTTATCATCACGACGTGATATGACACATGACTCCCTGTATATCTTGCTACTTCTTGATGTGGTCCAACAAAAAGTCAAAAAGATCTTTTTACGCGGTTGACAAGCAGTTTTCCATGAAAGCGTACAAATTTGCGGTCTACTTATTCGGTAAATGCGTGGGCGGGTTAACCTATATTTTTTAATTCATTTTCGAGACCAATTTTAGACGGAAGTGGGTCGAACCTCTGGTTTAATATGGCAAATTTCGAGATTACTAGGTACATACACATGTTCGACCACTTTCGATGTCTTTCACTTTCGCATTGTTTGTTAATAAATAGTCACAGTGGCGAATGAAAGACGACTTTGAATGCCTCGATTCAACATCATTTTTACAGTGCAATATCGCCATAATGGATGCTCCCATTGAACTTTCCTTTGCGTTTCACCATGTACAGAGGGTGTCAGAAAAAATAGAAAAAGGTGACCCCCTACCTAGGGTAGGTAAAATACCAGTTTATGACACTTCGCCGTCCGTGTGCAATATGTTTTGGGCCACCCTCGAAAAAATTGAGAATAAAACGAATTTTGAAAACTGATATATTTTGGAAACTAAAAAGTACCAAATATTATATCGAACTCGTTTTAAGATGTCTCAAGGGATGATATCAATCACAGAACATAACATAACATAAATTAACATAAGTAACATAACAAATAATTTACAAATAGTAAAATTCATGCAAAATCATAACATCGATTCATCAACATATGAGAATCAGGTAATACCTTGAAAATAACACATGGAGGGGCGATAATATCACAATGAAAATCATTAAGAAAACATTATTTTTCTCTCTTTCTGCTAAGCAAATTCTTTGATGAGCACGTCAATATCAATTGTTTCTAATAATTCAGATTTGTTTAGTTTTTTATTATCTTCAGTTTAGAAAATAGCCTTTCTCCACTATAGCAACTGACACCGGTAAAGTTGATGAAATTCGGAGCGCAACTGCAATATTTGGAAAGCTGGTCATGAAGTTGTTTTCATGTATATACTGTAGAATTTGTTGTAGGTCATTTTCTATATTTTCATGATGAATCACTTTCAATGATTTCAGCTCATTAAATAAATCTGTCCCGTCTATATCTGCTCACTGGCAATTTTCATTTGTGAAATTTTGTAGCAAATTTTCACAACTTCCGAGTTAACTTGCTTTCATCAAAGTCCTTACCAAAAGCCAAGTGAAGAAATCCAAAACATTCATTATAATTTTTGAGAGACTCGAATCTCCCATTTTTTTTATTATCCTGGTTCCCACGAAAAAGGATATCCTGTAATGTTCAGAGAACATCGTGAGAACCAATTGGTCGGTGATGGCATAACAAAAATGTAACTTGAATTGGTGCTGTTGGTCGTCAATCTGATAATCATCATCTCCCTCATAATCGAACAATGTTGGTCTCTTTCTTCTTCTATATATAGAAGGTTGTGGAAAGTCTGTTTCGAAATCTGAATTATCAGCTATAGTCCAAGCATCGTGTCCAAGAATCTTTTTGAATAGTTCTCATCGGATCTGAATGCAGCAGAAAAAATTCGCCAGTCATTCAATTGATCAAGACAATAATATACAGTGTAGGATATGATAATGCATTGTGTTTATTCAGCAAACTTCATTCTCGTGGGAAATCACTATCATTCCGTGCTCGTTAAATAATATACTATTTTCTACGGCTATAACACAAGATTGCTCTTGTTTTACTGTGTTCGATTTCGATACATCATCGATACGTCAATGAGGTACTTTGTATGCCATCAATTTTATTTCCGTATCTGATATCACAATGACTCCATTGTGTTATTATATCAAGAAAATCTCATCGCTCATATGGAATGTCGAATTTCAAGCAATGACAGCTCTGTCTAATAGATGAGCATTACTTGACAGGAAATCAGATGGCTACTAGACGAAGAAATCGAAAATGCCGCTGGTATCTATTATAGCCGTAGAAAAATTATAGTGTATAACTTGCACGGAATGTTAATTTCCTACTCGAATGATTGCAGCATGAGCCATTGGCGTATAGGAAATCACTATCTTTCCA